CCCTTTTGTTCCCAAAGCAACTCAAAGGAGGAGAGACACCAGTGTGGATCACTGTATTTTAGGATCTAGTTGCCCATGTGATGTCCACACACAAGAAGCCAGCAGTTGTTCCGATCCAACCCTGACTCAGAGAGGGAAAGACCTTCTGAGTGTCTCTAATATGATATCCTCTCCATCGCCTCCCAGATCACAATTTTCCATTACATCACATTAGTACAGCGGGTTGCCAGGTGGGGGACAGGCTTTTAGAAGGACCACCACCAAGTGGTTAAGAGTAAGGGAGCTACAGCCACACCCCCAGGTTCAATTCCATCCTGTGGCTCTCCAGCTCTTTGACCTTGAGAAAGTAACTTATCCTCTCCAAGCTCCAGGTTCCTCCTCTATTGCAGAAGGAGGAACACTGAAGCCAGGCGTGGTGGCGTGCGCCTCTAGTCCCAGCATTTTAGGAGGCCAAGGCAGGAGGATCACTTGAGCCCAGGAGTTCAAGATTACATCGAGCTATGATTGTGCCACTGCACTTCAGCCTGGGTGACAAAGTGAGACCCTGTCTCTTAAAAATAAAAGAAGGAACACTGGTACTTACTCTGAAGGATGGATATGAGAATTAACGCAGGCAATCCATGTAAGGCTCTTAGCACAGTGCCTGTCAAATAGGAAGTACTCAATAAATATTAATTGTTGTTATTTTGTGTTTATCTTTCTTCAATATCCCATAGACCCATAATTCTCAAAATTTTTGGTCTCTGAACCTCACTAGTCAGACTTTAAACTTTACATAAACTCTTAACAGTTATGAGGACCCTAAAAAACTTATACATGATATCTTTCGTTTAGTGTATTATAAATCAAGTCAAAATATTTCAATTCTTTTAAAAATACAATAAATCCATTTCATAAATAAGATTTAATGAAAAATAACCACATTTTCCAAAACAAAAATATTTGGTGAAAGAGCAGTATTGGTTGACATTTTTGCAAATCTCTTTCATATCTGGTTTGATAGAAGACAGCTGGGTTCTCCTGTCTGCTCCTGCATCCAATCTGTTGTGATATCACACATTATGCAGCCTCTGAAAACCTTCTTGTATTCTTGTGAGAAAATGAGAATGAAAAAGGCAAATCGCATTCTGGTGTTACTATGAAAATAGTATGACCTCTTGGACTTCATGAAAGAACCCCAGAGCGGTGTCCAAATTTTCCGGTGTCAATATCAGCATGGCAGAATCGTAAGTTCCAAGTCAGCTCATTATTAAACTTGGGAGAATTTTCCGAGACTACAACAGAATTGGATGTGAAAACAGCTACTGGTGACTATGCCCTGATTAACTGAAGCAGGAAAACCCTTAATCCCAACCTCACCATATACCCTCTGGTTCAGAAACTCAGGCCTGGGCCACGTAGAAGGCCAGCCCCCTGCTGCTCTGCCATTTGGATGGAGCTTGTTTGAAATGCTGGAATCCAACCATTTCTCCGGATTGATGGTTAGTAACTGCTTGTTGTTATTGCTTTTCTTGTTTTTGTTCTTTTTAAAATTTGTTTTAGAAGAGAGTCGATTCAAAAAAAGATAAAAATGTTTTCTTGAGGTAATTCCTTTTTCAGAAATTATCTTTTTAAATTCTGGAAATCCAATGTTTATGACTTCAGCCTTGTTATTTGTACACTATTAAAGGTTTGGGGTTTGGAGCTTTGTTTTGCGTTTCTAGCAAGCCTTTAAACAAATGTTATTGAAAAAGAACCTCTCCAAATGTTTTACTTAGCGTTTATTGACCTTTCAAGATACACACAGTAGTGACATCAACACACAGTAGTGGCATGACAGCCACCATGTCTAGCAGTCACACTCTAAACTACTTACCAAGCAAACTTAAGCAATGGCTCATTCTCTGGCCCTGCTAAGATGGACAGTCCCTCCTGGGGGGGAATCCAGGGATTACCTCTAAGATAATTTCAAAAGAGGGTGGAACTGGGGCTCTCTGGGGCTGACTGCTTTCTCAGGGAGAGGCACTGAGTACAAAGTGGTTTTTCTCTCTTCCAAGCTCTACAATGCAGGCTAGTCTTCCCCTCCAACAACTAGTGCTGCAAATTTGAAACATTATTGTATCAGTCAAGACTAAACTGCCGGCACCAGAACCCAAACTGAAGAGAAGCTTTGGGAGGGCAAGGGGTGGATATCCTCATTGATTGGAAACACTCTGCCATCATTCCACTCAACGTAGGAGTGCTGTGAAAATACAGCTATAAATAAAAACAATATATGAAACAACATAAACAATACAAACAATATCATGTGTGAATTGTTGGCTGTGAAAAGTATAACATGGCAACTTATTAATATGAATGGCATGCTAAGTAAAAATGTTCCTACTCTTAACTGAAGCACATTCTAATCTCTAGGTCTATCTCTATCTCTGTTTCTCTAACTTATCTATACTATTTCTATACCTATCTCTCTCTACATATGTAGCTCAGGAACTCTACGTTTCCTGTTTCCTCTTTCTGGAACATTCTTTCCCCCAAATACCTGAATGAGGTCCTCTGACACTATAGCAGTCCCTACAACAGCTATGGGCTCCCTGGCCAACTCCCTGTGATTCCCATATCAGTGCAGCTCCTTTATCAATGGTATACTCCATGCACATAGTAGGGGTGGAATTAGGGGGTTGGGGAATACAGCAACTTGCCAATGCCAGAACATTATTTTAAGTCACTTAATTACACCGAGCTACAGATTTTCGTCAGTGAAAAAGAGAGTGGTACAAGATCTCCCTAAAGCAACTTCAACAAGAGATAAAACCAGTGCACAGAGCTCTGGCCTCTCTACCCCACGTCAGTGAGGGTAACTCTGGGGTTTGTTTGTACTCTGAAAGTCCAGATAGTCACCCTAAAACATATAGAAATTTAGTATGTTAAAGATGGCATTTTAAATCAAGGTGGCATTTTAAATCAATAAGGGGAAAGACAGGTTAATAAATGGTGCTGGGACCACTAGGTAACAATTTGGAAAAACATGTTGAGATGGAACTTTAGTTACCGACTTACACAAAAGTAAATTCCAAATGAGTCAGATTTAAACATAAAAAATTAAACCACAAAACTAGTAGAAGGAAAAAGTTAAAGAACTTTAAAATAATCACAAAGAAGTAGAGAGCACCTTTCCAAATATCACACAAAACCCAGAAGCTGTAATAGAAAAGATTAATAAGCATGACCAAATTAAAATGATCTTAAATTATATACATGTCAATAAAACAAAGTTAAAAGACAACTGACAAAATGAGAAAAATATTGTGACTCAGATTACAGATAAGGATGTTTTTCCTAACCAATAAAAAAAACTCACAAATCAATAAGAAAAAAAGAGCAAAATGAGCAAAAGCTATGAACAAAGGACATATAAATAACTTTTTAAAATACATTGACCTTATGCATATTTTTCAAATATACACTAAGTACTCACCCAATCAGAAAAGATCAAAAAGTTTGATAAGGTACTGAGTAATGTGGGAGTAGGAGGAACTGGGCATTTCTGATTCCAGACTTTTTTTTTTTTTTTTTTTTTTGAGACAGAGTCTTGCTCTGTCACCAGGCGCCAGGCTGGAGTGCAATGGCGCCATCTGGGCTCACTGCAACCTCTGCCTCCCGGGTTCAAGCAATTCTCCTGCCTCAGCCTCCTGAGTAGCTGGGACTACAGGCGCACACCACCACACCCAGCTAATTTTTGTATTTTAGTAGAGACAGGATTTCACCATGTTGGCCAGGATGGTCTCAATCTCTTGACCTCGTGATCCACCCACCTCGGCCTCCCAAAGTGCTGGGATTACAGGCTTGAGCCACTGTGACTGACTGGCGGAATTGGGCAACTTCTATACGTTGCCAGTGGAAGTAGAAACTTACGGAACATCTGTGGAGAGCAATTTGGCAACATGTATCAAAATTTTAAATGCACATTGTTGACAAGATTCCATGGCTTGGAATTTATTCTTTAGCGAACTTGCTCATTTGCAACATTGCATCATGTGTACAAGGATAGGCATATTCCACAGACATGAAAATGGCAGCAATCTAATAACAGATAAGAGAATAAACATATTGTGCACAGACCTGAAATGGAAATCTATGCAGCAGTAAAAAAGAACGAGGTGGCTCTACTTGCACTGTTCTGGAATGATCTCCACAGTACACAGTGAAAAAGGAAAGTCAGAAGGTCATTGGGCTACTGCTTATGAAAGTGTGTGGGAGAATGTGCTTGAATATGCATAAAACGTCTCTGAAAGGATACAAAAGAAAGGAGTAACACTGGTTTCCTGTGGGTAGAGGCACTGGGTGGACGGGACAAGGGAGGGACCTAGTTTTCCTATGTACTTTTTTGTACATGTTAAAATTTCACCATGCGCAAATGTTATCTATTTAAAATACAAGCCTAAACAATAATTTTGTAATTGTTCTGCTGTTTAAAAAACCTTTGAAACCCATTGAGCTACATGATGCCTAGGATTGCCATTAAGTCATGTTTATTATTGTGATATAAGCACTTCTTATTAAATGGTACCATGATTCTGTGATGTTTCACAGTTGACAAATACACTAGTAATTCTTCTCCATAGCTGTACATGCAACAAAAGTCTTTTCACCATGTGTTAAATTCTGTTTCACAGACATCTGTGGAATTGCTCACATGAGTTATACGTAGTTCAACTTTTCCCAGACCTTAGCAACGTCTCGGTCCAGATACGGTCCCTGCAGCAACGACTCAACACTCTTCTCAGACATATTTTGAAACGGGACCTATTAAGTCCTCCCATCCCCTTAACTGGACAAGGTTTTCTTGAAATCTCAGGGGGCACCTCTCACGTGTTCGCAAACAAGTGTGCTCCCAGCAGGTCCTCCCATGGCTCTGCTGAACGCTGCAGGTCCCAGGAGACCCCCCAAGCCCTGCCGCTTCCCCACAGACGCCACTAGGGGCGCGCTAGAGCCCGCGCTGTGAGAAAGCTGCCGGTTACCTGGGGGAGGCGGAGCCAACGTCGCGCGCTGTTTCCGTTGCGTTCGGTCAGATCCCACGCGTCTGCTGCCTGGGCTCCCAGGTTTGGCGGAACTTGGCGAAACCGCGCTTCGTGTTTTTCTCACAGTCACTCTGCCCTCTACCGGACTCCTCCGTGAATGCAGATGGAACCGGAATGGTAACTGGTGACAGTTTTCACTCAAAATCACCTCTTCCTCTGTGACGAGAAGACCAAAGAAGACTCGAAGGGCTTGAGGAAAGAACCATCTTCGGAAAACCAGAACCGTGCTCCGCGACTGTGTCACCTCTCCACACCATCTGTGACTGTGACGGGACGGCGGGGCCAAAAGTGGGAGGGAAGCTCAGGAGAGGTTCGAGTCACTGGAAAGGACAAAATCATCCTGATTACTGTTCCCTGACACAGTCACCATTTCGTCCTTGTAACCTGTCATCTTCGCAACACCTCTGTTCCAATTAAGAGTTTTTCAACATGAGCTGATAGAAAATCCGACCAAACTGGCAAAACCCCAAAACTGGAATGTTAGCTGATACAGTAAACAAATGGCTTCAGGCATGGCCTGATCCAGGGCTCACAGACCCTGAAAGCAGCCAGGTTTCTGTTTCTCAGCTCTGCTTGCTTGGTGTTAACTCTTCTCCAGCAAGCTCTCCCCTGATGGTAAACTCCTGGGCTTTTTTCTTTCAGGTTAAATTCTGTTACATATCCATTTATGGAGCTTATCACATGTTATATGTAACCCAATTTTTCCCAAACCTTTGAGACAGAGCAAGACCCTGTCTCAAAAAAAAAAGAAAAAAAAAAAAACCAAGGGAGATTTTTTGCTTTCACATTTTAATATAGATTCCTGGACTCTCCAGGGACAGGGAGATTCCCAGGTTGAGGTACAGGAAGTTTCCTCCCAGAAAACTGTTGGTCCCATAGGGGGATTCATCCACCTCATTCCTAGTGGCCAAGGAAATAACTGTTCACTTCACCTTCATCATCTGTAATACAGTGCCAGTAAGCTTCACAGAGCTCTTGGGAGGAATAGGTGAGATCACACAAAGGAGCTAGAAATAGTGCTGAGCTCAAGGGGCTCCACAGATGTCATGGTGGTGATGAGGATAGGTTGCACGAGGTAATGAATGAGGAAGGCATTGGAAAATTAACCATGGGCCAAATCATGCTAAGATAAGGATGTTAGGTTTTACCCTCCTCAAAATGAGGAAGGATTTTGACCAGAGGGATGGCTCAATTAGATTTTCATTTTACAAAGATTATTCTGGCAGCAGTGTGTGGCCAAGCAGCAAAGAGATGGGGTGGGCAGGGGGAGGGGCCAAGATGGATGGCAGTGAGACCCGTTAGGAGACCATTATAATACAGTCATGTGCCACATCATGTTTCAATGATGGACCCCATATGCTATGGTAGTCCTGTGTGATTTAATACTGTATCTTTGCTGTACCTTTTCTAATATGTTTAGACACAATTACTACTGCGTTACAACTGCCTGCAGTGATCAGCACAGTAACTTGCTATACAGGTTTGTACTCTAGGAGCAATAGGCTACATCATATAGTACAGGTGTGTAGTAGGCACACAACGTCGAAATTGTCTAATGATTTCCCCATCATTACCACATCATTAGGCAACATAGTTAACTTGTTCCGTGGTTGCTAAACTTAGTTCAACATTAAAATTACTCAGGGAGGCCAGGCGTGGTGGCTCACACCTGTAATCCTAGCACTTTGGGAGGCCAAGGCAGACAAATTGCTTGAGGCCAGGAGTTCAAAACCAGCCTTGTGAACATGATGAAACCCCATCTCTACTAAAAATAGAAAAATGAGCTGGGCATGGTGGTGCACACCTGTAGCCCCAGTTACCTGGGAGATTGAGGTGGGAGAATTGCTTGAGCCAGAGAGGTGGAGATTGCAGTGAGCCAAGATTGTGCCACAGGCACTCCAGCCTGGGCAACAGAGCAAAACCCTGTCTCAAGAAGAAAAAAATTACTAAGGGAGATTTTTTTTAAATTTTCTGCCTGGTTTCACATTTTAAGTAGATTCCTGGACTCCCCAGGAATAAGGAGATCCTAGGTTGAGGTATCAGGAAGTTTCCTCCCAGAAAATTGTTGGTTCCATAGGAGAATTGATCTACCTCCTTCCCAGTGATCAGCATCGACTAAAGGAAAACTAGAACTGTTATAACAAGAATGTAAACACTAATAAACAGCCAACTTTCTGGTTTTTTAATGTTAAAAAAAACACACACACACACATTCTTGAAGCCCCTGGGGCCCAGGCTGGAGTAACCAGGTAAAGATTGCCTGGGATGGAAGGGTTGGAGAGAATGGGATTGAGTGACATTTTGTAGGAGGTCATTTGTTTTGACCAGAGCAAACCACCAGGAAGGAAGCAACCTTTGATGTGATGGTATTTGAAGGTAGCACCACTGGGAGGTAATTAGGTTTAGATGACATAATGAGGATGGGGCCCTCATGATGGGGTTAGTGCCCTTATCAGAAGAGGAAGGGACCAGAACATACTCTCTTTCTCTATCATGTGAGGACACAGCAAGAAGGCGGTCATCTGCAAACCAGGAAGAGGGCCCTTCCTCACCAGATACCCAATTTACAGACACCTTGATCTTTGACTTCTCAGCCTCCAGAACTGTGAAAAAGAAATGTTTGTTGTTTAAGCCACCTCAGTCTATGGTAGTTTGTTAGAGCAGCCTGAACTGAGTCAGACATTCAGCACTGAGAGGTGGCCAGCAGGGAACTGCACAAAAGCTGACCCAGCACCTACAGTACCGGTCCCCATTCATGTGAGCACAGGCTGCCCTTGCAGAAGAACCACTCCCACAGTTCTGCTTTGAGCCACCACCCAGCAAGGGCCTCCCATCCATCACTATATCCTGGTGTCTCTATGACTGTAGATTTGCTGACTGGACTCTGAACTGCCTGATGTGAATAACAGATAACTCCCACTTCAACAGCCCAAATACTCACAGGCCTTCGCATTTCCATCCTGGAGGTGAATCATAATTCACCCAAACATTTCCCCTATCCCAGATGTTAACATGGTTTTCAGGTTTCCATTAGTACATTTAACACTTCAACGAACATTTTGCACATAAAACTTTTACTGTATCACTTCGAATTCCAAAATACCTACTATTCTTTGACAAAGCCTGGTAATGGCTATTTCTTTGAGTTCAGGATACCAAGTCTCAAGCACTATTCCCTTCTCAAAAGATACAATTAAAGTTCTTTTTATGAAATTTGATACATGTTGATTTAAAAAAAAAAAAAAAAAACCTCTTAGCAAGCAAAGAATAAAATTTTCTTAACCTAATAATAGGCACCTACCAGGAACCTCAGCAAACATCTTAATGCTTCTTTTAAAAGTCGGGAGTGAGCTATGCGTGCTATGAATGTCCACTCTCACTGCTTCAAAATGCTTCTATTGGCACTTCAACACTAGAAGTCATAGAAAGGGGGGAAAAAAAGGAAAGAGACTGCTGCCTCTTCTGACTTGTAGAGAAGCAAGCATTCTCATTCACTGCTTGTATAACTTCGACTTTTAAGAATGGCAATTTGGAGATACATGTGTCTTAAAAGTGGACATATTTTCTGACCCTGCAACTCCACTTCTATACACATATCCTAAGAAAATACTTCAGGCTATATGCATAGATGTAACGGGATACTGTCTCCACTACTATCTACAATCAGAAAACACCTATCTGATGAGGTACTGGTTATGCAAATTCTGGCATGAACACATCATGGAATACTAGTCACTAAAAATTATGTTGTGTAAGAGCGTTCACCAGAAAGACAGCTTAAACTACCATGTTCAACATACCTTTTTGTAGATAACAGCATGTACACACATACATACATATACATACTCGAAAGATCTATATCAGAATATTGATGATTCCTTATGCTGTTTGTGTTCTTCCAATTTTCTAAAACCTGTTACTTTTCTAATTAGGAAAATTAATAGATTTTAAATGCTGCCTCAAATGCTGTAGACAGCAAAAAAAGTGGCTTAGAAACAATGTAAAGAGAGATTTTACATGGGGAGATGGCAGCAACTATATATACCTCTATTCATCCAGAATTTTTAATATCATTTAGCTAAACTGTATTCTTATTGTTCACTTTAATAAGACAAAAATAAATGGCAGATCTAAAGTCTGACTTTATATAAACATACTCTTAGGTAAACTCTGTGCTCATATTCAGGAACCAGCTATTCTGCAAATGCTGGGCAGGTCACAGGCCACCCTGCAACCCAGTGATTAGACTGGGGGAGATGGAGCTTACTGGGCTGTTTCCCTGGTTCATGTGACCCAGTGGGGTTTGGGATTGGGGGATAAAGGGAGAAAGGAGAAGGGAATGTCACAATAGTGTTTCATGCATGCACTCAGAAAATGGCACAACAGCTACAACAATGAGAATCTTTATGCATATAGCTTTGTGATCAATACAATCCTTCAGAACAACAAAAGACAAACAGGAATACAATGTCCCAAACAGTTGCAGCCCATAGGCTGACATTGCTAACTAGATATAGATCATCTGGAGGCTTCTGTAAGAGGAACTGAGGTGCAGAGGCATCAGAATGAGTTGATTCCCGGCAAAAATGCTAAGAGGTTACAGACATGAAATCAAGAAACCACTACTTGTTAAGTACTTCTGGTGTTTGCATACAGTGTCCAATACATAGGGAAGATAGCAAGTCCATACTGGTCTTTGTACATGCTGTGTGGTAGAGGCTACTGCAGGTTTCTTTATTTTCTAAAGTAGGCAAGGCTCATAAACTGACCAATTCACATTATGATTACTTGGTACAACGCATGCATGTTATTTGTACACAGAGTGCTTTAACAGGAATCTGCTGGATTTTCAAAATTCTGACAAGGCCATTTTTACCTCAAAGGACTATTATCCTTTCAGTTATTCATTCATTCAACAGATACTTATCCCAAACTGTGTGTCATCTCATCCATCCCCTTCTCAGGAAGACCAACCCTGGAAACAGGTGAGAAGAGAGCATTCACAGGACATAGCATGTGTTGTTG